ATCTTTGGGAGCAAAAATTAATATAAGACACTGTCTTATTTTCAGGGAAACAGGGTCACAGAAGGTTGAGAACCACTGCTCTAGGAGAAGAAATGCAATCACCCTGCTCAGAGGTGTTGTTATGACCTGGTCCTCCTCAGGGATGGACTCTGCCTCAGTGCTGACTCCAGGCCCCCAGCCTGGTCCTGCACTTGTAGGAAGGTCCCGGTGGGAAGGTGACTTGCCAAGAGATGGTTGCTGATGACCATGGAGTTGGAGCTGGTGGAGGGTGGTGGGCAGCAGGGGCCCATCATGCTGGGGATGGGTGGCATAGCCCAGTGCTCCCATCTTGGGGCTTGCCTCAAACGCTCCCATGGTTGGTCTGGAGAGGCTTTTCTCTGGATGGTACGAGAGGGCTGACCTGGCTGAACCTCCTGCTGCCTCAAGATCTACCATGGGCAGACACAGCTGGCCATCCGGACTGGATTCTTTGAGCACACCAGGAGATACCCGGAGGAAACCCCACCCCCCTTTCCTGTCCACTTTGTTCAGGGGCAGACTCCCTTCCTACAGCTTTCAAGATGGTCAGCTAGGCTGAGGTGTAGCCGCTCATGTGAGTGGGTCACCTGAGTTTGTGACAACATGCATTTGGGTGGGAGGTCCGTTCTCCAGGGTGGACTTCCTACATTGACTAAGCTTATCCATTCCATGGTGATTTTGGCTTCCTGACTTGTTCCTCTTTTTCGGTTAAAAACACATTAGTCATTGCTTCGTGTCTGATTTCATAGTTTCCTCTTGATTTTCCAGTTCCTTCAGGGTTTTTTTTGGTATTGGCAGGGGGAGAGGGGTGTCCTCCTTAAGCAGTATCGTTTGTTGAATGTTGGCAGTCTGAATACACCCAGGAAGAAAGTCCTGGTGACCCGTTCTCGTAAAGCTGACGGTCCAGAAAACCCTCAGGAGCACCTCTACTCTGTCACACACACACGAGGTCTCCATGAGTCAGAATCAACTTGACACCAGGCATGCACTGGGCCAATTTCGTCTGGTTTCTTCAATCCAGACAGCAATGCGATTCCAGCGTCACAGACAAGGAGACTGGTGCTCAGAGGCCCCTGACTTGCCCGATCTCAATGCGCTTCCCCCTCCCCCCATTTTCTTTCTAGGCCATTGGCTGGAGATCATGGCCCCCCTCTCTCCTGCCCCCAGTGGAAATAAAAAGCAAAGGGTTGACTTTTACCTTGTGGCTTCCAAATTAGGTTCTTGAAACCTAGGCTTTGGAGACCTTATCTAGGAAAATCAAAACTATTAATTTGCATGAGCCTGAGCTTAAAAGAAAGTTTCTTTATATGCTCTCTCTCTGTTGGTTGGTTTGGTTGGCATATCAGAAGTCAAAGCCTGCTAGATACCGGACTAACCATTCATTGACCTTGGGAAATGTAGAAAGGGCTTGATGGGGACAACAAAGAGTTTGTGGATCCCACCTAGAGAGGGGCTGTGGCAGATGTGGGGAGGGGAAGGGGTGCAGGGCAGTGGAGTGGGGGGTGTTGCTGCATGGGGAGGTGGGGTTAGTGAGGGTCAGCTGTGACTGGTACCAGGAAGCTGACTCCGTGGAGTTCATTCTTAATGTCCTGTTGTTCCTGGCCTGACAATATGCCAGGGGGCTTC